AGCTTCAGTTCCCTCATCTATAAAATGAGGATGATGTATTGTCTCACGGGATGGATACAGTGGTAAAGTGAGAAGATACATGTGTATTAGTAAGTGTCCACAAGGAAAATAAACAGAAATGTCTCTGAGTATTTAAAACAAAGGGAATGAAATCTAGGGAATTCAATGAGGTGACGAAGATGCTCAGAAACCAACCAGGAATCAATAAGGACAGACACTCAGAGTTTAACACTGGGAAGCCCCTATCCTATCCTAGGGAGGAAAGGAGGTGGTTTCCCTGAGCCACCTGTGCAGAACCTAGAAGCACAGAAGAGGTGTCCAATAGGAGGCAGGAACATAGAAGTAAGGTAGCTGTTGCTAGAGGTGCAACCTCAAGTCCACGGGGCTTAAAACTACCCTGCCTTCTCTCTCTTTCCCATCCTCCAGCTTTCTATCCCTGTCTCCTATGAACAATACTCACCTTAAATCCCGGAGCCTGGTTTTGCAAAAAAGGTACATGTTATGTTCCTTCTCAGATGCTCAGCCTCAGCTTCACACATCTCTCAGGGTGTTAAACCCTGGTCTTGCACCATTGTCCCTGCAATGATCACCTACAGCTGAGGCTGTGTGTGAGGTGCACTAAGGTGTTAGCACTCAGCTGCACTGAGGGACATCCCCATTACAGCTGTCCCATCTCTGTACAATTCCTCTATCTTATGACCTTTGTACTAGATAAAGTTTAGGAGGTCATTTGTGAGACTAAGCCGCTTAGCTTCAGACAATGATCAATGACAAAGCATCTTAACTTGGCCTTTACAAACTTTTTAGGTCTCATATAGGGACAGATCTATGTGTGACAACAGGATTAAAAGCTTTCACTTAAGGGGTACCTGGGTGGTTCAGTCAGTTAATGGTCTGACTTTGGCTCAGGTCATGAATGAGGTGTCCTGGGGTGGAGTCCTGTGCCAAGCTCTGCTCTAAGCAGAGAATCTGCTTCTCCTTCTCCCTCTGCCCCTCCCCCCACTCGTGCTCGCTCGCTTGCTTGCTTGCTTTCTTTCTTTCTTTCTCTCAGATAAGTAAATAAATAAAAATGCTTTCACTGAAGAAGGCAAGAAAATAAAAGCAGTCATACTCAAAATAAGTAGAAGAGAGAAAATAATAAAGAGAAGAGGTGAAGACAAAATAATAACAAAAATAAAAAAGATAAAAGATGAAATAAGTAAGATGAAAAATGGACAAACATAAACAAATCAATGAAGCAAAAATCTGGTTCTTGACAAGATAAATAAAATTGATAATCTCTAACTAGACTCATCAAAATAGAAGAACACAAATACAACAACATCGGAAACACAAACAACATCATGGAAAAAAATGACAGGGTTATAAATCCTATAAATATTATTGTTATGGGTTCAATTATATCCTCTGAAAAGATATGCTAAGTCCTAACCCCTGCACCTGTGAATATGACCCTTTTGGAAATAAGGTCTCCATAGATGCAGTCGAATTGAGATGAGGTCATTAGAGGTGAGCTCTAATCCAATATGGGTGGCACCCTTATATGAAGAGGAAACTGTATGCAAAGACAGAGACACACATAAAGGATGCCATGTGATAACAGAGGCAGAAAGTGAGATATGCAACTGCAAGCCAAGTAATGCCATGAAGCAATGGCCAAAGTGAAAAGCCAGGAAGAAGCAAAGAAAGATTCCACCCAAGTCTGAGGAAGCATACTGACACTTTGGTTTGGACTTTTGTCTTCTGGAACAGTGAGAGAATAAATTGTGACGGCTTTAAGCTGGTGAATTTGTGGTACTTTGTTATGGCAACCCTAGGAAATTAATACAACTGTGAAAAACACTAAAACTATACCTTTGACAATTTAGGCAAAATCAACAAATTCCTCAAAAGATAATCAAAATTGACAGGAAACAGAATGTCTAAAGAGCCTCTATTAAAGAAATGGTAACCCTAATGAAACAGACTCTCCCAAAGAAAACTTCAGACACAAATTCTTTCTCTAGTACATTTGAGGAAACACTTCAGGAGTGAAAATTCAAATGCTACCACACAAAATGGACAGATATTCAGAAAGATCCCAAATGAATACATAAAGCCAGTATTTCTCCAATACCATAAACAGAAAAAGATACTTAAACAAATTAGGGACACCTGGGTGGCTCAGCTAAGCATCCAACTCATGATTTCAGCTCAGGACATGATCTCTGAGTCATTAGAAGGGGCCCTGCCTTGGGCTGCTGGCTCAACAGGAACTCTGTCTCTGTCCATTATCCTCTCCCTCTGCCCCTCCCCCAGCTCACATGTGCTCTCTCTCATAAATAAATAATTTTTTAAAATAAATAAATTAATTAAATATCCACCATGAACATTAGTACACAATTTTTAACAAAATATTACAGAAGCAAATCTATCAACTTATAAAAAATGATAATAAATACAACATGATCACATGGGAATTACCCAAGGAGTACAAGTTTTGTTTAACACTGAAAAATCATAATGCCATCTATCATATTAATGAATATAAGAGAATATCTATATAAACGTCTCAAGAGATACAGAAAATTTATATAACAAAATTCAATTTTCACTCATGGTAAAAGTCTCAATCAACAGGAATAGAAGGGAATTTCCTCAACATGATAGATCTCCAAAAACCTGCAGAAGACCTCACATTTGAGTGGAAAAACTAAATAACTTTTTTTTGTAACACAGGAAACAAGACAAGGATGACTCATCACTCTCTTCAACATTGTACTGGAGGCCCTAAGCAGTACAATAAAGCAAGAGGAAAAAATGAAGAAAAGGAAGTAAATCTTTCTATATCTTTTTTTTTTTAAGATTTCATTTACTTATTTATTTATTTGGGAACACTTAAAACTCCATAAGAAAACAGACAAACCCAGTTTTAAAAAAGGTTGAACAGGGGTGCCTGGGTGGCTCAGCTGGTTAAGCATCTTCCTTCAGCTCAGGTCAAGATCCCCGGGTCCCGGAGTCTTGGATTCAAGCTCTGTGTTGGACTCCCTGCTCAGTGGGGAGCCTGCTTCTGCTGCTCCCCCTGCTTGTGCTCTCTCACTCTTTCTCTCTATCTCTGTAAAATAAATAAAATCTTCTTTAAAAAAATAAAATAAAAAGTAAGAAAGACTGAATGGACACTTCAATGGGCAAAAAAAACTAAACGGACACTTCTCAAAAGAAGATACACAAATGGCCAATAAACACATGAGAAGGTGCTCAATGTTATTACTTTTCAGGAAAATGCAAACCTAAAAAACAATGAGATACCATTACACACACACCATAATGGCTGAGTTTTAATAAACAGACAATATCAAGTACTGGCAATGATATAGAGCAACTAAAACTCTCATATGTTGTTACCAGGAATGCAAAATGTTGCAACCGCTCTGGAAAACCAACTAGAAGTTTCTTATCAAATTAAACATGCACTTACTTTAGGACTCAGCTATCAAATTCCTAGGTATTTAAAGATTTTATTTATTTATTTGACAGAGATCACAAGCAGACAGAGAGGCAGGCAGAGAGAGAGAGAGAGAGAGAGAGGGAAGCAGGCTCCCCGCTGAGCAGAGAGCCCGATGCGGGACTCGATCCCAGGACCCTGAGATCACGACCCGAGCCGAAGGCAGTGGCCCAACCCACTGAGCCACCCAGGCGCCCCAAATTCCTAGGTATTTAATAAACAAAAATAAATGAAAACACCTGTCCACACAGAAACCTGCGTGTAAGTACTGATGACAGGTTTTTTCACAATAGCTGAAAATAGAGAAGACATGAAATGTCCATAGGTGGATGAACAAATTGTGGTATATTAGTACAATGGGATACAACTCAGCAACATAAGGAACAAACTACTGACACATGAAAGAATACAGATTAATTTCCAAAACATGCTGAGCAAAAGAAGTCAGATACAAAAGAGTCCATGATCACGAAATTCCACAACAGGCAAAACTAATTCATAGTGACAGGAAGTGTAACACTGGTTGTCTGGGGCCAGGTGGATAGTGAGAGGGAAGAAAGGAGCTTTTACAGGCAATAGAAATGTCCTATATCTTTGACCTGATGGTGTTTCAGAAATGTATACATTTGCTAAAAACCCACTGACCTCATGACTTACAATGTGTGCGTTTTATTGCATGAAAGAATTACTAAATAAAGTTGATTTTTAAAATGTCGAGGTCAGGAGGCACCTGGGTGGCTCAGCTCATTAAGTGGCCAACTCTTGGTTTTGGCTCAGTATCCTAAGATGGAGCCCGGGGTAGGGTTCTGCGCTCAGCATGGAGTCTGGTTGAGACTCTCTCTCCTCAACCTCTGCCCTCCCACCTCTCACACTTTCTCTAAATAAATAAATAAATAAATAAGTACTTATAAAGTAAAACAAAACAAAATATCAAGGTCAAGAAGACAAAGGAACCTGAGGAATTCTCCGAGATTAAAAAAGACGAAAGTGACATCACAACTAAATGTATCCCATGATCCTGCACATTATCAGGACAGTTGACAAAATCTGAATACGGGTTATAGACAAAATAACAGTACTTGGGGCGCCTGGGCGGCTCAGTGGGTTAAGCCTCTGCCTTTAGCTCAGGTCATGATCTCAGGGTCCTGGGATCAAACCCCACATCTTCTCCCTCTCTCTCTGCCTCTCTGCCAGCTTGTGATCTCTGTCTCTGTCAAATAAATAAATAAAATATTTTTTAAAAAATCACAGTACTTATTTGTTCTTATAAAATATTTAGACAAAGGGACATAAAATCCACAATTAATTATCAAATGGAACGGCAAGGGAGCAGGGGAGAGAGAACTGTAAAGCACAGAAAGAACAAAATATTAACAAATGGTAACTATGTGCAGAGGTTATATGAGAGTTTTTATACTATTGTTTCAACTATTAAGGAGGAATGAAATTATAGCAAAGTAAAAACATTTTAATGCAAGATGATTATCTAGATGGGGGAAGGGAGGCAAAATAACTATTTTTTAATTCTTAATTGTGCCATCTCTCAAACCTGGAGGCTACTGAAATTATTTATCCAATTTATCCTATTAATAAGGAAAAGACCCAGGCTATTAATAAGAAAAAGAACAGGCTACCAGAGTTGTCTAAGTGATTCTATGGGTGGTTTAAGGAAAGAGAAAGGGAATTTCTCAGGGCCATTAAAGAGAGGGGAAACCTCTCCAAAGATAAAAGCATGCACTCTCCCTCAAGAAGACAGATGGCATCTAATCTCTTAAATCATAGTCCAAAAGAACATTTTCTTCCTTTTCCTACTCATCTCTGTTTCCCCAGTAAATTAAGTCTTACTAGCAAAAACATTAGTTTGTAAGTATTCACAAATTATCACAGAAACAAACAAACAAATGACAGGTTCCATTGCACCTTTTCTTCTTGTACCTATCAAAATAGGCAGAGAAAACATCATCAATTCTCTCCTCACAGATACAATTGTAGGTCTTAGAGCACTCAATAGTTGCTATTCTTGTTGAGCTTAAAAATGCACATTGTCCTCTTCCAGAAGAATTCATGAATGTATAGTTACTGTAAAATAGAAAACACACAGGGTCAGCTGTTTAGGGATGTCTGGGTGGCTCAGTCAGTTAAGCGTGTGCCCTCGGCTCAGGTGTGATAGGTTCCCTGCTCAGTGGACAGCCTGCTTCTCTCTCTTTCTCCCTTTCTCACTCACTCTTGCTCTATCTCTAAATAAAATCTTTAAAAAAACTAAAACCTTCTTGAATAAATTTATGAGCTGGCAAGAAGCAAATTCATGCTCAGGCTGAGGTTAAGTAAAGGTGGGAACCTAGAAGTGTAAGTGAAGGACTGAAGTCATTTTTTCCCTTCATTTATACACTAGATTAAATATGAATTCCACTCAGGTTTCCATAGGAAAACCTACAAAGAGTTGAGACCCTGAAAATGTATCTTCAACATACACTACCCTTGAAAAGTCTTGAACCTTGGACTTAAGCAGAAGAGAAAATGAATAATCCCACCTAAGAATCCAAAATTACCAACTATCCCACATGCAATTTGTATTTGCTATATTATTTGAATATCCAAATCTCCTACAGAAATAAATAAATAAATAAGTAGACGATAGATAGATAGATAAGATAAATGAAACTAAGTAGCTTGGGAGGCATGGGCAGAAAGCATGAGATGTGTTCAATATGTATAGATGAGGAAGTGAGACGTGTCAGGTATAGATACTGTAAGGAGAGGATGTGCCTGCTGAACACAGGAAAAGAAGAAAGAACCAAGTAGCACTACATGTCTCACTCAAAATACACATTATGCACACAGAAACATCCATGAGGTCTTACTTCACCTCCTACTGGTGACACTCATACTGGCCCTCTGCCTAACAAACTCAAAAAAATCCTTAGCTAGCTCATCAGGATCACTGAAAACCTGCAGCTGTCCCCACCCTTACATGTTCCCACATCTCCCTACTAGAGCAAATGTGCATGCTAGTCATAGAACCTTCTGTTTGTTGAGCCCCATTGCTCAAAACTCAAGTGATAGCCTAGAAACCACACCACTGTCAGGAAAGGGGGATGCAGAAGAGTCAGGCCAATCTGAAGATATGTAACCAGGATTCAGGTGATTTTTTCACCCATTTGCTCCTTATCCTGAGTGTGATGACTGATGCTATCCCAACCCATTCTGATAAGCTATCCCATTTCTTTCCCCTTGCATCAGGCTACTTGTTCTAAGTTGATTTAATTAACTATATAATTTGAGCATCTTAATTTGGCCTGGCGTTTCTGTTCTGGGCCTCTGAGCTGGTTGCCTGGAAGTGACTCACAGGCCAGGACTGCATCAAGATAACTTCCTGCATGACATCTCTTGTAAGTTTGCTGCCACCTTCATCTCAGTCCTCAAATAATTCCCACAGCAGCTCAAAAAGAAAAAAATCCCTAAACACTACAAAGAAAATGACACCAGGAACAAAAGCCAGCAGAAACCATAGAGCAGACCCACAAAACTTCAAAGATTAGAATGATCAGATACCAAATTTAAAATAAGTATGTTTGATATCTTTCAAGAAATAAAAGACACCTTGAAAATGTAACTAGCAAGATTTAAAAACTTAAACCAGAATCCCTAGAAATACAAAGTATAAAAGTTAAGATTTTTAAAAAAATCATTGAACACTCTAACAGAGTATTATAACTAAATGGAAACCCAAGAGTTTACAAAATGCTGCACTTCAGAATAAAACTATGGGGATGCCTGGATGGCTCAGTTGGACAGCAGGTGACTCTTGATCTCAAGGTCATAACTTTGAGCCCCACACTGGGTGTAGTGATTAGTTAAACAAACAAAGAAACAAACCACAAAACAAAAAAAAAAAAAAAAAAAAAAACTATAGTGAAGGCATATGTATGTATGTGTGTGAATACACACTTATATTTATATTTATAAATAATATAAACTAGTAATATACAGATTGTATGATGGTGTTATGACCTGATAAACCCCAAACAAATTAAAAATACCATAAGTCAAAAACGCATGTAATAAACCCACCCTACTAGCTTAGCCTAGTGTACCTTAAATATGATCAGAACACTTGTGTTAGCCTATAGTTAGGCAAAATCATCTCACACAAAGCCCATTTTATAATAATGTACTGAGCATCTCCTCTGATTTATTGAATACTACACTGAAAGTGAAAACCAGAGTGGCTGAATGGGTATAGGATGGTTTTAAGGGTACAGGGCTGCTGATCCTCGTGATCATGTGGCTCACCGTGAGCTCCAGCTGCCACCACCCTGCATCACAACAGAAGTCCATACCGCACATCAGCCCAGGGAAAGATCAAATTAAAAATTCAAAGTACAGTTTCTACTGAATGCATATTGACTTCACCATTGTAAATTAGAAAAACTGTAAGTCAAGCCATTGTTAGTCAGGGACCATCTATAAAGAAGTTTCAAATGAACTTTAGGGATCCTAAAGTTCTTAATTTGTGACTGTGGGACTCACTATAGCTGAGTCAGGATGGTCCAATACCGTCATATCACTTTATGATTTGGGTTTGGTTTGTGTACCTCATAATGCATACTTCTGAGCATGTGTTTAGCATCAAAATTTTGTTCATAATTTGTACATTTCTCTTTCTTTTTCATTATACTTCCTAAAACATTTTCTTCATCATTCTAATTATTCTTACCAATGACCTCTGTGTGAAAACCATGCGATATAAGAGATTCTTTTTAGATACAGTCCTCCCAACCCCAGCACAAATGTTTGGAGCCTGAATGCATTCCAGAGACTTACATCCCAAAAGGTGGGCCAATGTTAATCCATTTCCATTTTTGTTCTCTATCATCATATGATAATCCAATCCAGTAGTTATTCCTATAAGTTTGGGATTGAATAAAGGCCTGTAAGGAAACAAAACATATCATGTGACTAGCCCCATCTGCTAGATGAATGAAAAGGAGGAAGGTGAAGTTCCCAGCTGTTTCTTGGGACAGTACTCTGCTACACACCACACCACCCTTCATCTCTACTTCCTAGAAAACCCTCCCTCCCCTCCACCATCCTCGTGCCTTTATTTTCCAAAGTAAGTTTTTCCTCAAAGATTATTTACTTAATGTTAAAAATGCCTGCCACTCTCATGGATTATTTAAAACATAAAAAATTTTAAATCTAAGTATCTAACATTAGATTTGTTAAATAATGTCTGTCACTATAAAACTACCCAAATTCATGCTCCAGAAAAATATTTAATGGTATGGAAAGTGATCATTACTTATTTCTTTTTTTTTTTTTAAGATTTTATATATTTGTCATAGAGAGAGCACAAGCAGGCAGAGTGGCAGGCAGAGGCAGAGAGAGAAGCAGGCTCCCTGCTGGACAAGGAGCCCGATGTGGGACTCGATCCCAGGACCCTGGGATCATGACCTGAGCCAAAGGCAGCTGCTTAACCGACTGAGCCATCCAGGTGTCCCGATCATTACTTATTATTAATGAAAATAGTAATCTTCACAACAAATTTATTAAAATAACAACTATATGTGGGAAGTTGTGCACCAAAACCCTCAGCCTCACAGGAGAAAGGCATGCTATAGTTTAATAGTTGGAAGGGGTGAAGGGAAAAGGGACAGTTTTTGGAAATATTTCCTATGTCAAAAAATGTAATATGGCAAAGTGACATTTTACATAATGTCTGGTTAAATGACTGAATATATTTTAAAATATAGGTTTAAATTTAAGTGAATTTTACTACAACAAACATTATTTTATGACTCAATATCATAAATTTTTTTTTAAAGATTTTATTTATTTATTTGACAGAGAACACAAGTAGGCAGAGAGGCAGGCAGAGAGAGAGGAGGAAGCAGGCTCCCCGCTGAGCAGAGAGCCCGATGCGGGGCTCGATCCCAGGACCCTGAGATCATGACCTGAGCCGAAGGCAGTGGCTTTAACCCACTGAGCCACCCAGGTGCCCCAATATCATAAATTTTTTATGTTATGATGATAAAACATTAGATTTGCATATAAATGTTGTGCTGTTTTCCTAAGAGATAATTAGAGGTATAGGCTGATTTTTGAAAATATTTCTCTGTAAAAAACGTTTTGTGTGTGTGGATAGTTTTTAGTAGTAATAAATTTAAAAGATAATTTTGATATTGTTGTCTATTTTCTTTTACAATTCCTTTTGAAAGATATACATCACTATACAATATATTAGAATATTGATCAAGAAAATATTACCTATAAATGCCATGAAAATCACCATGAGGTTAATTTGTAAAACTGTTATCACTTTTATATTCCTCATTATTATCTCCTTTTTGCAGATGGAAAAACTGAGATCCAGAGGTTAAGTAATTCACCCAAGGTCACCCAGGTAATAGGTGGCAGAACCAGATTTGCAGGATCCCAGACAATCTGGCTCCTGGATTCCTAACAGCACCTAGTGGATTAGGTTCCTCCAGGTTCTTAGTTGCCACCCTGCAAGGATAAGTAACCACTGCCTCCAGGCTATAAATACTAAAGGGTTAAGGGCTCCATCGGAAGGAGAGGCATACTTTTCAGTGAGTTGTTGTCCTGCACACACCTTACAAAAGGAAATGAATGCAAAGACCCAAACTGAATCTTCAAGGGGGTTTCCATTTTGGAAATAATAATGGTCATCATGATAAAGAATATATACTAGATGCTTAGAAAGTAGCAAGATTATATATGCTTATCAGTAGGCAGGGTTTTCTAGAACCCTTACCTTTCTCACCTACATAATTTTTGTTCACTCAACAGACACAACACAGAGAATAACTGAAGGTCCCTCTTTCTGGACTTCCCCATCCTCAGTATCTTGGACCCAAGCATGAGAGACATAGTTAGGAAAATAAAAGTGGATGTAACAGTCCATGATACCAGTTCATCTTCATCATTTATCTTCAAAAGGGATGAATTATAACTTTGGCAAGTCTGTTTACATCTGTTCCAGTTTTTACTTTCAGGAATAAAATAATAACACTTTATTCCATAACAGGACCAGCAGTTTCCATAGAATTTGCCTACAATATATAAGGTGAAACATTATTTGGTATTCTGTTAAATAATGCAATATACTTATCAGCCCTCCATAATTAAATAAAATCTAAATAGCTATCAATAATGATAATATCAGGTTCACCAAGATTCTAGAATGCCAAGTGATATCTCTAATAGTCATTGCAGCATCATTCACAAGAGCTAAGATATGGAAACAACCCAAGAATCCATTGATGGATGAGTGGATTAAAAAATGTGGTTATATACATATGAATACTACTCATCCTTATAAAGAAGGAAATCTTGTCATATGTAACAGCATGGATTAACCTTCAGGATATTATACTAAGTGAAATAAGCCAGTCACAGAAGGACAAATACTGGGAGACTCCACTTATATGAGACACAAAAAATTGTCAAATTCAGAAAAACATAGAGTGAAAGGTGGTTGCCAGTGGCTAGGGGAGGTGGAAATAAGGAGCTTTTGTTCAATGGGTATATAGCTTCAGTTATGCAAAATGAGTAAGTTCTAAAGTCTGGTGTACAATATAGTGCCTATGGTTAACAATACTGAATTGTTACTTAAAAACTTGTTAAAAGGGTAGATCTCATGTTAAGTGCTCTTAACCACTCCCCAAGAAAAAGTGACATGGGAAAACTTTTGGAGGTACAGGACATGTCTACTACCCTAATTGTGGATGATTTTATAGATACACGCATATGTCCAAACTTGTCAAATTATATACATTAGATATGATCAATTTTTCACACATTCATAATACCTAAATAGAACTGTTTTTTAAATAATAAAAGTAAATTTTTAAAAAGATTCTGGGATGCCTTGTAAATAAAAGAAACACAATTCTTTGGAATTTTTTCTTTTCCTCACATATTTTATAATGTATCAAATTTTTAAAATACTATTATTTCTTTAATAACAGAAAATATAAATTCCTGCTACCATGTCTAAAAGACATTAAGTAAGCAAAATTGTTTTGCAAACTCCAAATCCTAAACAAATATTTAATACTTATTGATTAACCAGGTCAATTTATTCCATCATTTACATAACAGATTGTATTGTATGAGATTTAATATTCTTATCTGTTGGATGTTTTTAAGGGTGTTATCACACAGTTATACAAACACCAACACCTTGGCAAAACTTGAAGTACTACAGAGAGTGTATAGACCAAACATGGGAGGTCAACACAGAATGGAAACACACACACAATTACCTTTATGAGAGCATCTAAATAAAAGGCCTTGTGCCCATTTTAGCCTAAGTATATTTTTAGTAATAGCCTCCATTTTTTATGTCAACCACAAAGTGGAGTGTCTAATTTGCCCCCAGGTCCAAAATGATCCACATTTTCATGGAAGCTGACATATTATTTCATCTTCTAGGTGAAATCCAATAGGAATGTAGGAACTTCCATTGAATTTGGGGAGATACAGAACTCTATTAATCCCAACACAACTCCTGGGTCCTCAGTCTCACATGTTACACGGGCAAATCCAAACACTCATATTACAGCTTGAGGTACAAATGAAAAGGTGTCTAGTAGACCTAGATCACTAGCATATCATAAGCCTGCCTATTAGGCCTCAAAGCTTCTGGAAGGGGAAGAAATAATGGCAAATCATGCAATCTTTCATTCAAGATGCCCTTCATACCTTTATTTTCTCTCTGACATATCCTATTTGTAAAGAGTAAATCCTGTTTCTTTTTTTGCTGAAGCAATTCATTTTTGAGAATGCTATATTCTAAAGTCTTGTATGTCAAAAGTTTCTCCTTTAAGTAGCTGTCATTTTGCAATATGTGGTGCTCTCGAGTCAGGTTTCCTATCATTTCCCTCTGCCGACGGTTTTCTTGAGTATACTGAAAAACTAAAATTAATAACATAGATATAATACAAAAGTACTCATAATGCCTGAGTATTAAAATTTAAGACAAAGAAAAGATCTCACTTTGACAACCAACCCATTTCATTACTTTAAATGGTTAATGTGACATTTAGAAAGTAACACCTCAATAAACTGACCATACAAATGGAAACATCAAACTTCCTGCTATTAGCAACTTCCGCATAGAATAAATAAAATAAGATATCTGAATAAAATCATGATGGTAACACCTTACCATTCAGTTCAATTTCTTTTTTTTTTTTAAGATTTTATTTATTCATTTGACAGACAGAGATCACAAGTAGGAGGAGAAGCAGGCAGCGAGAGAGAAGGAAGCAGGTTCCCTGCTGAGCAGAGAGCCCGATGTGGGGCTTGATCCCAGGACCCTGTGATCATGACCTGAGCCGAAGGCAGAGGCTTTAACCCACTGAGCAACCTAGGTGCCCCCAGTTCAGTTTCTTTTAAACAGTCAGCACATAATTTTAAATAGGTACCAGAGTAAAATCCAGTCAGACAACACTTAGCAACACATCACCTGAGCATGAAAATCTGCACTAAGAAACATAAAGTAACAGCACCATTATTATTGGAGTAGATCGAATATCCACAGGAGAAAAGAGAGGAAGGTGTAAATATGTACATTTATCTGAGTGTCACATGTTAGTGATTTTCTCTAAAGATGTCAAGAAATCCAAATAAGAAATAAAAGTTGAACTCAAGATCATCTAATATCCACATAAAAAATCAGTATTTTTACTAAATTATATCCTCATTACATAATGGGAAAAAATGAAGAGAAAATCATACTTTATTTGCAACAGTTGTTTTATGAGAATGTGTATCTAAGATTCACAATGGTTAAACTCAGAAGGCATGACATGATGAAGTCCTGTATCTGAAGGAATGCGATTTATCATACAGCTCATTAAACTACACAGCCATTGGAAGAGCTAAGCACAATGAAAATGACACTGTGACATATGTGGGACATTCCCTAATGATAGCCAGGGAACAATTAATGAAGCACACTTAATATTTGTGCAAATAGTGGTCACTATTACTCAAACTTGAAGCATGTATTTTAATTACTCACTCTTTGTCCCCAACACAGCAACTGTCGCCAAGAGTAGTAAACACAGGATCCCAAGAATTACTGCAATGAGATACCAGGACACTGAAAACCGCTTAAATAAAGAAGAAAGATAATCATCCGGAAGTGTCTTGCTCACTGCTAACCTTAACCTGGGATACTATCTGAAACAAAGAAACAATCTTCTCTAAAAATTTTAGAAAAATGTATCATACAAATTGATTTAATTTTTGTCCTAGGAACTACAGTTTTTAAGGTCTCAGATTTCTGATGATATACACCGAATGTATAAATCCTACACACAAGAACAGTCCTCTAGGATCTTAAAAGCACTTCCCCTCCAGATGGCATAACATACAGAGTTGTCCAATCACTATGCCGTACACCCGAAACTCATATACATTGTATGTCAACTATAACTCAATTAAAATATTTTCAAAAAAATTTAAGAAAAAAGCAGAGGGCAACAAATATAATAAAAATTTATAAGAATCCACACTGACATGTATACTCCTTCCTGTGACCACAACGAATGATGAAAAAGAAGGAAAAAGCAGTCATTTTTCTTGAGGAATTGGTAGCCAACAGAGTATATTATGAGGCTGGAAATGTGATCAGGGTCCATTCTTAAAGAGTTTCTAGAAATCAACTGTCCTTTTTTTTTTTCATCAATTCTATTTTTCCCTAAACAATATTACCTTTATCCTCCTACTTTTGAGGCCCTGTGTCTGAGAATTCTATCTCCGTCACTAATTAAGACAGTAAAAATTATTCTCAATTTAGAGTCTATGACAATATTTGAAGGTAGAAGGTAAAAACAGAAAAAAGAACAGAAGGGGCGCCTGGGTTGCTCAGTTAGTTAAGCGTCTGACTTCAGCTCTGGTCATGATCCCAGGGTCCTAGGAAGGAGCCCCACATCGGGCTCTCTGCTCAGTGGGGAGTCTGCTTCTCCCTCTCCCTCTGCCTGTTGCTCCCCTGCTTATGTGCTCTCTCTGTCAAATAAATAAATAAATAAATAAATAATAAAGACAACAGCAAAAAGTAAATGCTCCTTTGGAATAATTTTCTGTTTCTCCATTGCTAATTAAGGATTGGTAAATATTGAGGCACCTGGGAGGATCAGTCAGTTAAGCATCTGCTTTCAGCTCAGGTCATGATCCCAGGGTCCTGGGACTGAGTTCTGCATCAGGCCTCTTGCTCACTGGGGAGCTTGCTTCTTCTTCTGCCTGCCATTCCCCTGCTTCTGCTCTCTCTTTCTCTCTCTCTTTCTTTCTCTCTCCCTCTCTCTTTCCCTGACAAATATATAAATAAAATCTGAAAAAAAAAAAAAAACAACTTTAAAATAAAAAGAAAAATAAGATTGGTAAATATTTAAGACACCTAAAAATTTTTGTCTGAATAAAAACATTGTTTCTAACAAATATTTTCATTTCTCGAACATTCTCTAAGAGCTTTATTTCTCTAGGAAATGCAGTGTTCTCTTGAGACTCTAATCTGTCCTTTACGTTTTAAAGCCCTCATGAATTCCTCTTAACCAAATCTGAATAAAAACACTTTATTAGCTTTGCAAATTTGGAACAATTCGTTAATTTCTCCATTCTCACAAACTTAAAAAAAAGGAAAAAAAAGACTTGTTCTGCTCTCTACACCATTATGGTTTCTTATTACCATTTGACAACCTGAAGGACAGACAGAAACTTTTTTTCAAATGTCAAAGTTTGACAATCCATAAGAGATGCTTAAGACATACCTTTGCCATCAATGTTCCCAGACTTTTGATTCCCATCTGGCCTCAATCTATTTGGTGACTCTGAAGGAGACTGAAGAAATCTCAGGGTGGAATAAATCACTTGCTGATTGCTCATATCTAGAGTAAGAAGGGAACTATGTTTTGCATTAAAACCTCACAAAAGGATGATTTCTGTCAAAAGAACAATTAAAATGTCGGGCTGTAGAAATATACCGGGGACATACCTAGAAGTCTGTGTATGTGTATGTGTGAATGTGTGTTTAACTCTTTCCAGTGCATAAAGCACGTGGACTGAGCCTGAATTATATAAGAAATGGAAAACCTCTTAATATTTCTGTTAAAATCATTTATACTCCTAGTGATTACTGCCAAAATTATTAGAATATGCAGAAAGAATTTTCCTTTTTTAATCTCCCAATAGATTGAATAGATTGGGTCCTATTCACCCAGCCAATTTAGCTCAAAATGTTCAACATACATATAAAAATGTTGGGCAAAATTGCCACCAGTATAAATTACTGAGACACTTTAAAACTATCAATTCAAAAAATGAAAATTCTGTTTCTGAAATTCTGAAAAAATATAAATATCTTGCCTTTAAAAAGGCCTTAATACACATGTTCACATCTACATATAAATATTTAAAAGTTCTTGCATTCTTTTCAATTATGACTTGAGTCTACCAGAGCATTTATCAACGTACAATCCATACACCATCTGCAAAAGGTATTAAAGGTTAACATCACAGATTGGTCAACAATCCAGACTCCAGTGCCCCGTGCAAGATGTGCTGAGAAAAATCTCTCAGTTGAAGCCCAGTTGCCCGTATTTCTAATCTCAAAAGATTCCGTCTGTATTTGAACTTTAGACATAATTTTCTAGTGTAAGATGTTGCAAGAGAAGCCTCTGTGAAAATAAAATTGTCAGCAGGCAGTCATTGGTTAATATCCATAAAGGATTCAATCTCTTAATGGATATCAATATAAAAAGAAATTATTAAATAGTAAACCTTTAAAATTTACCTTGGTTCTTTTACGAGTCAGTGTGAAAAGAAACAGAAAATATGGAAAACAAATTGCACATGTAACTATATTCTCTTTAAATTTATTAATTTACAAAATGTCCTAAACTTAATCACATTTTCCCTAATTTCGTAAGGAAAGGAGTCTTTTCTATTACACAGTCTTTAGGGCAGATAATATGTACATCATTCAGACACAAAGCAAGAGTCACAGTGTACCGAGAAAAAGAAAATAACCTCCCACGAATGTTGCACTACAGTTTTCACATGCTTAAGAGTTAATGCAGGTCTAATGCGATCAGTCCCATATTCACGCCAAGCCATTTATAATAAAGTGTTACCTTCCTAGAATCTTTCTTTCCGCAGTATCTCTTCTTTATCAGTGGCACTAGTAGGACACTCAGATAACAAAGATCGGGGGGAAGAGCAGACATTACCTGTGTCTATGCCACGCAGGGATGGAGGCAGAGAAAGCTGATCCAGAGAAGACATGGAAAAAGTTGGCCTCTCCGACCCTGGATCCCTTGCGCGCGTGAGGGGCTGTAAGACAGAAGGCAGAAATGATCGTCTCTGAAGGGTACTCCTACTCAGAAATTTACTGCCCCTCCTCTTGACCAAAGTGCTGAAAGGAAACTGTATGCAAAAGCTGCTGTTGCAGTTCATCTTCCTCCATTTCAGCTAACCAACCACTTCATACGCTCTGCAAAATAACATTCAAAATCATATTTGAGGACTGAAAATATAAACAAATACAGCTTTGAAAAAAATAAGAACTAATATCGTCAAAAAAACTCACATATTTAAAAGAAACTACTAGCAAAACAAAATATTAAAATGTATATGTATAAGTATACATATACTGAAGAAATAGCATAACCAAATTCTTGAACTCTTAAAGAGTCTGTTAGAAACTTTCTCTTGCATGCTGCTATTTGAAAAAAAAAAAAAAAGGGGGAAGGGGGTTTCCCATTTATGTGAACTACAGATAAATGTATTTTAGAAATAATTTTACAGGGACGCCTGGGTGGCTCAGTGGGTTAAGCCTCTGCATCCGGGTCAGATCATGATCTCAGGGTCCTGGGATTGACTATCTGCTCAGCAGGGCCTGCTTCCCCCTCTCCCTCTGCCTGCCTCTCTACCTACTTGTGATCTCTCTCTCTGTCAAATAAATAAATAAAATCTTTAAAAAAAAAAAAAAGAAAGAAATTATTTTACAACATCCATAATTCCACTATAAAAAATTTTGGTGTATACTCTTCCTGTTTTTTATCCACACACTATGATTACTATGAAAATTGGTGTTATTCCATACATAATTTTTTTATTATTTTTAACAAATATTTCCTCAGTTTAAAAATATCAAAAATGTGATTTAAAAACCCATATATAGTCATTACCCATATAGATTATGCCACAATTTATTTAAGCCATCCTCTACAGTTGAACATTTGGGTTGTTTTCCAATTTATTCCTAGTGTAAAAAATATATGCCCTTACATTACAAGAATATCACTCACAAATAATGCTGTCTGAGGAAAAGTGTTTAAATATGAAATTAGGGGATCAATACATGAAAGCACTTTGACACATACTGCCCAATGCCTTCCAGAGAAGCTGCTCCCATTTATATACCACCAGTGGTATGTGAAAATGCTCACGTTTGATTTTTTTTCAAGAGATGCTGCTGAATTATTCCTTGAGTTTTGTGTATGAATCTTACTTCACGAAGACCTACAAACTTCCAGCTAAAAGAAATGCACTTCTGTAACTGTTTCTATGAGCCAGACCTTACCTGAACCTCACTGAAGTTCATTTTCATTTAATATGGCTTGTCAGTCTTCTGACATACAGGTCTATGAAACCAACTGAAGCTGTTCTTTGAAGGAGATGATTATGGTTAATATGGACTATAGCAGAAGAGGAGGGAGGCAGGATGAGAAACAGAAATTGGTCATGCAGAGACAGCTCACCCTTACTTCACCAGATTCTGACCAAGCTCCTTACTCATTCTTTTCTTTCCTTACCAACCTCCAGCTGCAACTAAACCATCATACTTCGGATGGATTTCCCATTCTTCAGTTTGCTCACGCATCCCCCCTCTCTTCCAAACTACTTTACAAACACAGCTATTGAATGTTCTGACCACTAGGACCAGGCTAAGTTACCCTGCTGTGGTTTGGCCCTCAGCTGATGCCCTTCGGTCCCCAAAGCAACCTTTTTTTTTTTAATATTTTATTTATTTATTGGACAGACAGAAATCACAAGTAGGCAGAGAGGCAGGCAGAGAGAGAGAGGGGGAAGCAGGCTCCCCACCGAGCAGAGAGCCAGATTCGGGGCTCAATCCCAGGACCCCGAGATCATGACCTGAGCCGAAGGCAGAGGCTTAACCCACTGAGCCACCCAGGCGCTCCCCCACACACACAAAGCGACCTTAATCTCTGATCACCACTTTGTCTTCATGTGCAGGCAGTCAGCTGAAATACCTCCTAGACACTAATTTAATTCAATAATATAAGCAGAGTTTCATGGGTAGAATCTGGACACCTCAAGAATACCAGCTGCTGGGCATTTTTTTTTTTACTCCAATCCTGGATTGGCTTTGTTAATCTCAAAACAGAGAAAGATCCTAGCCCTCTATCCTAATGCCAAATATAAATAAATTGATAGATGATAGATAGACAGACAGATGATAGGTAGATAAAACAACTGCTGAGAGAATCAGGGAGTAGGGGTGCGAGAAGTATTAATGGTGATCGGAAAGGTGGCAGAGAGACGCTGTCATTTATTGAAGGACCCACTGTATGTATAACCGTATCAAAACTTCCCCACGCTGATAGCTGTTTAGTATTGCCCCCATTTTATACATGAAGAAACTAATGTTAAGAAGTTCACTGACTTGCCAAAAGACACATTATTGCTAATTCTTGATCCATGTTTAAATCAGGCTCATTAAATATTGAGTATTGTTGCAGTCCAAGGTTCAAATCTTCCCTAGATGTAAAAATGTCAACAAGTCACTCCCGATCGAGACCCCTTCCTCATGTGTTCAATAAGACTATCACTCACTTCATAAGCTGGGAGAATTCAATGAGAGTAGCAGCAGATAGGATTTCTCAGACTTCAAAATACAAAAATATTCATTTTTTCCCTTTCTCTCCCAAGGTTCTATAAATAGTGCAAGTGCTAGGACAGCAAAGTAGAAATCCTGACAGGCTGAGCTGGTTTCTCTGTCCTCACGTCAGGCTTGGAAGAGAGGGGTAGGGAGGGGCAGGGGGCACATTAATACAGTTGAGGAGCTGGAAATATGTGGCAGCATAGTGCCACCTCCATTCTGTGACCTCAGACCCCGTTACTCACACCTTACTGTCCCAAGCAGTCACTAGTAATGCTGAGCCTTTATTCTGTTTTGATTTACATCCTTAGAGCTGATGGGGGCGGGGGAGTCAGTTCCCATGACACACGTTAGCCCGGTACAGAACACTGTTTTACGCCACCATAGCTGTCTATCCTCTGTAAGCTGAGTACCACATCTGTCTGGCTCCTTTTTTTTTTTTTTTTAAGATTTTATTTATTTATTTGACAGAGAGAGATCACAAGTAGGCAGAGAGGCAAGCAGAGAGAGAGAGAGAGGGAAGCAGGTCCCCTGCCAAGCAGAGAGCCTGATGCGGGACTCGATCCCAGGACCCTGAGATCATGACCTGAGCCGAAGGCAGTGGCTTAACCCACTGAGCCACCCAGGTGCCCATGTCTGGTTCCTATTCGTAACTGCAGCACAGACAAGACATGTGATGCTGACATGTGCACTCGATGAACAAGATGGAGCAAGTGAAGAGGAATTGGTTTCACTCTTATGTAGACCATAAGGAATAGCGCAGAGGACCACAGAGGAAGGGAGGGAAAACTGAATGGGAAGAAATCAGAGAATGAGACAAACCGTGAGAGACTCTGGACTCACGGAAACAAACTGAGGGTTACAGAGGGGAGTGGGGGTGGAGGGAAGGGGTGCCCAGGTGATGGGTATTAAAGAAGGCATGTGTTAGGTTGAGCCTTTGTTGTTATACCCAACTAATGAATCGTTGAACACTACATCAAAAACTAATGGAACACTTACTATATGCTGGCTAACTGAACATAATAAAAATAAAATGAAATAAACTATATTTTCTGAAATTAAAAAAAAAAAGGAATTGACGAGAAAATCTAATTTTTCATTTTTAGAGAAAAGCAATTGAGATGAATGATTGGGTAGCCAAATTGTGTAGCAGCTCCCTCCAAGCTCTAGTTATTTGGTTTCTTTGTTACTAATCTCGAATTTCTGAAAAGGCAAAACTCTTCTTAAAGAAGACAAGCAGCATCAGATAGTAGTTGCACTGACTTCAGGTGGCACGAACTGAAACTCCTAACACGGCCCTTTGATCAAAGCAGCACAAAATGGGAAGCACCAAACTTCATCTGAAAAACCACTGGTTCGTAAAACAGAAAGATGAAAAATTTGAAGAATATTTTCAATGTTCCCGTACTTCATCATCTAAATTCACTTATGTGCAAGACACACATAACACACACACACTACGAATATATAAAGCATGTAGTTATTTACTTCCTAGCTGTTTTGCTGTAAGCCTGTTTTCATTTGGGAAACCACACATTGTACCCCAACCATTATTGACCAATTATTAATGTTGTCAACTAGCTTAGCTCACAGCTTCTAGTCACACCTTCAAACTTTCTGGTAACACCTCAAACCTCAGTGGCTTATCACTTCACAGCAGCATGCTGTTCTTCCACTTGCAGACCAAAGTGAAGGATGTCTAGAGGCAACACCAGCTTCTACGGAAGGATGGTCTGCATCCCTCTAAGAGGAGTACCTCACCTCGCCAGGTTCCCACCTCCACAGTTAGACTTCATACCTAACCTTTAGGGCACTGAGCAATGCTAATTTTCTGGTCTTTGATGTAAAAACTCAAAAGACCTCATTTGAGGTTTCTTGTTCCTCTAACTAGCTACCTCATCTGTCCTTGTCTTTACAATAAAATCGGCTCTAATGCTCTGGAGGTAAAATCATTTATATGGGCCCAACTGCCCTCCAGCAGTCTATCAAACAATACCCATCCTACCTCCAATTTCTAAATAACTAAATGAGAAGAACAACTCAGGAAATAAGCTTGAAAAAATTATGGCAAAAAAAGGACTTCAGGGGCCATATGGACTCTCTGCCACTAAAGGTAACCTGTCTACTCACAGGTGGAAAAGGAAAGTTAAGTCTGCAAAGTAGGGGCATAATTGAGATTTCTGATGTTTCAGTTAGTGTTCCCTCCACTATTTTACATGGTTTAGACTCTGAACTTACCCTCAAATCATTCATTTACCTGTTGTTTATTTTTTCATTAAATTTTGTGGACATTCTATTCTAGCTCATTACCATATAATGGTAGGAAGCCAATTACTAAAATAATCAACAAACTTGATGATCACCCAAAACCTACACATAGATGTTTACAGGAGCTTTATATAATTGCCAAAACCTGGAAGCAACCAAG